AAGAAGGGAAAAAAACGTTAGCCTCACACAGACTGCACACTAAATTCACCCCTCAAATTCAATCTTCTTATCACTCCTGGCAAATGAATCTGCAGGTGGCTGGACGCAAGCCATAGAGTAGTTGGCCTTAGAGCCTACCTTCCAAAATGCACCACTGCAGGGCAACCCAGGGACTCTTTTGGAAAAGTAAGAAAAAAAAAAGAGTAATACATGCTCGCTGTACAAATTTAGATGCTATATAAAGATGTAAAGAAAAGAGTAAAATTAATTTGTAATTTCACCATCCATCAATAATCGCTGTTCATAGAGTCCAGTACAGTTCTGATTTTTTTCCTATCAGTATCCATAGACACATGCCACATATTTGGGAGATATATGTATTTATTACGAAATAGAATTATTACATACATTGTTTTGTGCCCTGATTATTTTTTTCAATTAATTTACTCAGGTCATTATTCTATGAGCTGAGCCACTTCTGCAATATTCTAGAGCCAGGGAGCTGGACACTCATTTCTAGGACTTGGTTAGGACTAAATAGTTCCCACCCAATGTAATGGCGTGTAGTGCGTATAACAATGGCATAGGGGGCACTCCAGGTGCACTGTTTAGACCTCTGAAAGGAGCCTGAGGGTTCAAAGGTTTCCTTCCTGCTAGGATTCCCTTCGGCTAGAACTCCAAACATCTATTCCCACGGACCTTCCACCACCTCCAACCACCAGCAGTTAAGGGGTTAAAAAAGGCTTTGTTCCTGGGGCACAGCTGAAGGCCTGAGGCTCCCAGGGTATCACGCTTTCCAACCAGGGCTCTCCTGCACCCCGAATTTTCCAAGGCCTAGGGCGCCATCTGCCTCCATGAGCCAGGGGTGGCAACGCCATGGGATGAAGTCCCACTAATTAGCCCCAAACCGTAAAGCCACCTTACCATATGGACACCCCACTTCCTCTGGTTGCTGGAACCTCTGTTATAACCCTATTTGAGGGAAGCGCTTCACTCTGGCCTGGCAGTAAGGAAGAGCCACGCCCCACTTCCACCCCTATTATCTCCACCTGGATTCATCCCTCTCCTTGGCCTGCTCCCTGCTCTAGACTGGCATTTGGTCTCGTCCGCCTCCGCCGCCTTCTTCCCAGTCTACCTTCTCACCCGGTGAGGCCTAAAATGCACACCACATTCGCGGCCCACCGGGAACCCAGGCGCGTCTCCAGAAGACTCCCGGGCCAGATTACGCTTCCGGAAGGGCAGTTAGGAACGGACATTCGTGCGCTGCCCGTTCGCCCCCATTATCTCACCGCCGGGGCCTGAGAGGGAAGAGCGCTTGGTCACCGAGGAACTACATTTCCCAGCGAGCAACACGGCCAGGGCTACCCCCTCAAAAAGTGGGAGTGGTGTCCAGAGCGGTGCTGCAGGGTCTTCTGGGATTTGTAGTTTGGGCCAGAAGCCTAGCGGCAATCGGGAGAGACTAACGTCGTGGGCGAGGCGGGGCTGGAGTGGCGCACCCTGGGAATTGTAGTCTTCAATTCCCTCAAAGGTTAAGCCAAGCACAAGATCTTGAAAGCCTGCGACTTTGAGGCTTTTAAACCGAATATCGCTGTTAGAGCGGTCTCCGGAGGGCTGTGAGAGTTGTCTGCAGAGGCTATCCCAGATGGCCAAACTGATTTGGGGGCTTTCAATAAAAATTATCCCCTAGGGCATTCATTCCTGATATTGATAACATTGCAGTTTAAGGCCTACCCACTGTCTCATCTTCAAACCAAAAGAGAATTAGCATTATCGTCATCAGGCATTGTGCTGACATTTAATGTGAATTATCTCCTTTAATCATTATTATAACCTTATAGGAACGCACAGTATTTGTATCTCATTTTACAGATCAGAAAACTGAGAGAGCTATTCCATAACCCTTTCAAGGCCTTGTTAGACCATTTGGGATTCTGAATCTGAAGCCTCTGCTCTTGAGGGAAAATTAGTAAGCTGACACTATCGGAGTCACTTCCCCCCATTTCTGAGCTCTAGCACCCTTTCCCTTCCACAGTCAACTCCGCTTTACACACTGGTGATAAATGTAATATTTTCCTATCATCAGTGTAGACGTGAATGATGCTATGCTATTTCCAAACGTAGCTCATTTAAAAACAGGTAAATCTCTACTTAAAGATTTTGGAAAATGGCCAAGGCATGTTGTTGAGAAGAAAAGCACAGCAATGTGCATAGTTTGATACATTAAAAAATTATATGCCCCTATAAATGCATATAAACTCATAAGGAAGGGCTTGGGAAGGAAATTCGAAAACAACCAAACTCTTCAGGACCAGTAGGATGAGATCCACTCACCTGCTTTTAACCTACATTCTTCTGAATTCTCTGAATTTTCTTATAATAATCATGTAGAACTTGTGTGACTTTTGAAACAGTAAATCAGGTTTTTTTAATGACAAAGACATTGGCCTGTCTTAACCAGACTTAAGTGATATTTAGTATTAAAAAGCATTCAAATCCCTTTTATTGGCCACATAAACACTGTGACTGTGCCTCTATTTTCTCATCTGTAAAGTTAGAAAACAATACCATTTTGCTAAATCTTGTGGTGAGGATCAAAGCAAGATAATATGAGAGAAGTGCTTAGGGACCTCTGAAATCTCAGAACAGATGGGAGAGGGGTGTTGCTATTATTTGAGGTAAATCTTCCTAAGTCTTTCATTTCTCTGTACCTGGCACCCACTTCCTACTATATATGTGAACAGAAATGAATGAACACCTTTCCCTGTCCTTCCTGGCTCCCACAGAGTCAGTTAATTTGCTAAGAAAGCTTGGTGCTATGCACTTCACCCACACCTGCCACCAATTTATATAACAGTCACTTCGCTTGGTTGTGCTCAGTCGTCTCACCTGTAAAAAGATACATCGCCCTTTGATATATGCTAAGAGGGCATGTGGATGAGTGGACCTTGAATCCTAGAATTCCTATAGATTCATGGATCTTATCCCCCAAATCCCAATTTGGTAGGTATGGAATTGGATTAGAAGATGTGATTACCTTTCTAGGTCTAAATTTCTAAGAATGAGAAATTTAAATAAGAATTCCATTTAAAAAATCATCTTCAGAAAGTAAACTAATCATATATTACTCAATATTCATCTCTGTTTTGTCAACAGCATCATTTATTGAGGTCTTACTATATGCAAAGCTTTTTTAAAAAAAAAAATTTCTATACTTCTGAATTTCTTGAGACAATTTATTATGAAAATTCACTCATTAAAAGATTTAAAGGCCTGAAGGAAAACAGAAGAGCCAAAGAATGAAGAAAGAGTACAGGATAGTTGGAGCAGTCAAGCTCCAATCAAAAAGGCCTTCCAATAAACATCACACTGTTGGACAAGGCCTTCCAAGCAACATCACACTGTTGGAGCTCCCAGCGGGTCAGTTGAGCAGTGCCATGTTAGTTCGAAGCATCATCTTTATGCTTAAGAAGCACACAAACGAAAGGTCAATGTGATGAGTATTTAGTAAAGTTAAATTTTTAAATGATTTATAAAAGTATATGTTATAATTATATACAATTACATAAAATGACTAGGAACTCACAACTTTTAATGTTTAACTGACTTTCCTTTAGTAAAATGATGACGGCTGTAAATACTTTTATTTACCAAAATAAAAAATTGTTTTCTCCTCCCCCAAATCTAATAATGTTCAGTCTGTTAAATCCAAAAATCTGGCAGATGCGATTGTGCGGGATTCCAGAGATAATGAACATCCAGTTCCTGTCCCTCCGAGAGGTTACAGTATTTGGAGGATAGAAGACAAGTAGCTAAAATTGTCAGATTTAGCTAATGTCCCAAATATTTGTCCCAAATATTGCATGGCACATGCTTATACTAAAAAAGTATTTGTTGTTTCTCTGAAATTTAAATTTAACTGGGTGTCCTATATTTTATCTGACAACCGTAAAAACAATCCTCTCCTATTAACAGTGGCTCAGGACTTAAAAGAGCAACAAACAAATATATGCATTGATAAATGATTCACAGATAGAATGATATGTCGAATTTTATAGCTAGAAGAGACTTAGAGCATATCCTGTTTCATAGGAGAGGCAATAGAGGCTAGATCAGCCGCTAATCTTTGTGGCACCTTTATGCGTTATAAAAACACATCCAGAGAAGTTCTCTGTGCTCGATGCACAGACCAGGCAGAAGCCAGGCCAGAATGGGGAAGCTTGGTCCCAGTGTAGGGCTCTTTCTAGACACTAATTAACATACAAACAGTTGTTACATGCTTGCTCTTGCCTATAGTATCTCCAGGCACCAACACCATATTTAAATTCCTCCACCTGGAGCTTACATGCTAGTGATGTAGATGAGGGGCTTCCCTCTTAACATTTCTGATCCTCTAGAGAGGGTTTGACAGGGAGAGCGATTTGACAGCCACCTCAAGGGCATGTCATCACTCAGGTTGATTACACCTAGAGCACGGTGATAAGATTCGGGAGCAGAAGCCAGGCTTTGGGTGGATAAGGAGGTGGTTCCCTCATTGGTGCTGTCAGTCAGCAAAGCACAGAGGAGCAATGAGAAGGTTTATAAGCCAGGAAATTCACCTTCCTGAGAGGTTGTTCCGTTCTGATGGACTTAGTAGCTTTGAGTCTGACAGTTCAGTTTTCCTCCCTCTTTTCCTCCGCCTCTCCTAGGCCCCCTTTCCCGCCCCCAAACTCTAAATATATTTTAAAAACAGAAACTCCAGTATTATTCCTACACAATGCATTCCATAGTTTGCTGTGAGGGTTCTGAGCATCTTAATTTCCTTGTTTGGTCTTGGTGGCTGTGATTACTTCGCAAGCCTCTCTCTCAAATCTGGCACATTTTCTGCTAAGACAGCTTGTAAATCATTTGCCAAAAGCATCCCCCCTTGACACCCTGCTCCAGCTTTCTTAGACCTGTAAAGTTTCCCGTTTTCTATTTTTCCAATATATCAAGTTCCACTTTATTCATCCATTCCTTTAACAACAATTCAAGGATCTACTACGGGCCACGTATAGTTGCAACTATGAATAAGAACCCAAAGATGTCACCCTTTCTTTAGAAAGCTTACAGTCTAGTTGGGAAGGCAGACCAAAAACAAAACAAAACAAAACAAAACAAAACAAAAACAAATAAACTAAATGATAAGTGCTTGAGGGACCTAAACAGAGGGCCGAAGTAGAGACTAAAGAGGAAACTATCTCAGAGCAGTCAGGAATATCCTCCTTAAGGGAAAACATTCACGTTGAGACCTGAAGAGGGAGAGGAGGCAGCCAGGCAAATATCAGAGGCGGGGTTCTGTGGAGAGCAGTTTGTAAACTGACAAGGTCCTTGCAATCTGTGAAGCCAACCAAGGGTTGCCTCACCTCCACAAATCCTCCTAAGAATGGGAAGTAGGAACTGATTGGAAAACAATGCAGGTGTTGAAATGCAAATGATTTTAGCAGGCTGTGTAGGGTGGGGGTTACCCTGTGGAAATGCAAATAATTATAGTAGGATGTGGAGGTTGGGTGGGGATAATCTCATTTTAGCCAGCAAATGTATACTCTTGTATAAAAGCAACTTGCAAAAATAAAATCGCTCTCTACTCTATTGTCAGTAGATATTGAGCCTCCCGATCCCAGCTTTCCGTCTTCTTTCTTTTCTCTATCTCCCACCGTTCCCACTCAGGATTATTTTCCAGGGCCGCACTGGACATGGCAGGATTTACCACCCGCTGGACGCAGCAGGTCCTGAACCAGAGGCAAAGATAGCACATTGTCCTCGGGCGAGAAAGAGCTGTGTGTGTTTGAGCAACAGAAGGAAGGCCATGGTGGCTGCAGGATGGTGTGAGAGGAGGGGCGGGGCACAAGATGAGGCTGGGCAGGCAAACGGGACAGATAAGTTTGGATTTTGTTCCGAGGGCAGTGGGAAGCCCTTGAATGGATTCACGCTGGAATGGTGTGATCTGATGTGTGTCTTAAGTAGATTGCTCTTGCTGCTGAGAGGAGCGTGGCCTGGAGGAAGGCAAGGGAGCCAGTGAAAGGCCCTCTAGGAAGCCATGGAAAGAATCTGAGGAAGAGATGATGGTGGTGGCCTTAGATGCTCACTTTGCAGAAATGTTTGGAAGGAAACTTCAGCTCCATGTCTTCTCAGGGAGCCTGAATGTGTGAGTCCAGCACAAACACACACACACACACACACACACACACACACACACACACGCACACACACACACACACATACTGAGAGCCCCTTTGCTCACCTCCTACTGGTGGCAGTGGACAGGAAGTTGGTTTAGAAAGTTGGGATAGCAAACTGTACTTTCTTATGAACTGCTATTTTTTT